TTTCTTCCCTTTAAATTCTACGCTTCAACACCCCGCCCCCCGTTAATCTCTTCTACCTATACTTTACTCCACAGTCTACTCCCTCGCACTCCCTGCACGTTATTCCATTCAAAAAATTTGCAATTACCAGAGAGCAATGAAAAACTTGGGCGTAATAAAAACTTGATTTCATTCTCTAGGCAGTGATTTCAATTTGAATTTCTTATCTTAGGTTCTATTCATTCATCTAAAAACACTTGTCCTATATTGGAAGTTTAAAGGGCCACTCCAGCCCAAAAATTTTTTCTGAGATTTTTGCATAAATTGGTAGTTAGTCGAGAAAAAGAAGCCATCGTGAAATTTTTTTTGAAAAGCTTAACTCGTTTTCCAGATATAGACGCTCAAAGTTGAGAATCGCCGTAAAAATACGACAAAATTTTTTTCGGAAAAAGCACTTTGTGACGTGTGAAAGGGCTATTGTTTCAACATTCGGCGCTATTGTTATACGTTCGCACTGAAATTCGCACGACTCGGTAGAGGCTCGGAAGAGGCGATTCATGTCGGAATCTCGGTTGTCGTTTTATTTATTTTCCTTCATTGCGATTAATGTACAGCGGAGGCTTCCAGCCAACATGGACTAGTAATTCGACAAATCAAAGATGGAAGCTTCAACCTGAACGCATATCCTCATCTTGGCAACGCAGCAAGCTTTTCAAAATGGAATGCTTCACGAATTTTCCGATGTGAATGGATTTCTGACCGAAGGCATTTCTTATCGTCGTGTCATCTCAGGGATTTCCAGGGAGCTAAATAATAATTGATGTCTTAACGCATTAGAAGAAGAACCCTATTCACAAGATGGAAACTTCCCCGTAAGTCACAATTCATCCTTATTATCATTTTACTATGTTGAACGTTTGGCGAAACTGCAGGGTGTAGAGGTTTGGAGGGGGTTTGCGGAAGGTGTGACACACACCCCCTAAGCAATGCAATTTGCCGGGCTTTGAGAAAAACTTCGTCCTCTAAATATAAGTTTTTTAACAGCCAGTCTTGTGAACTGCCCCCCAAATGGTCAGAAATGTGGTTATATTAAAAGTACAACAGGGGCTCTCAAGCAAAATGTCACATAAAATAGTACCAAAAGTAGAAGTTTGCTACTTTTTTGTACCAACAAGGGGGCCTGAGCCTCCTAGCACTACATCCCTTCCAATGATCTGTGCACTACACCTTTGCCCGAGGTATAGATGTGTAAAATTTTCCAGGGTTTGTCTCCTGAACCCTTTTTCATCATGTTCTACCATGTTCTGCCTTCAATTTTGGAGTTCTGCCTATTTCATCATAAAATTGATGCACAATTTCAAAATTTTCCAGATCAATATCCAGGGCAAAAGATCTACTACCCCAAAGATAAAACATGGAATTTACACCCTTGGTTTTGGAAAAAAGATGTGTCATATCCTCATTCTAATGTTTTAAAGGCAGAATTGTTTATATTTGTTAAATTTACCTTTGCTATTCTAGCATTGATTCATGTAAGCATGGCCTATATCATTTAAATTCATCTTTGTGTTACTTTAAATTAATATCCTTAGATGCTATTTGCTATAGTAACAGTGGTTGCCCTTTCACCCCTAAATTTCTCTTTGATCCTTTTAAATATCTATACTCTGAATGCCCCTGAGTGTCCAAGGTAGTGATTTCTTTGATCATTTTATGTTTTAATATGACTCTAAAGTAAATTTTGACTGGTATGTTAGTATTGATCCCTGTCAACCTTATTATTCTAGGCATAAAAAAGGTAACAAACTCTTTTATGGATCAGCAGAAAGGATCTTGCAAAAAAATGCTAGATGAAGGTTGGAGATTACATGCATCCTGTTATCTGGCTACTGGCTTTGGGGGAGTGATAACTTGCCCCTCTCTTCCCTGCAAGAGTTACCACAAAGACCTCAACACATTATTCTGTTTTTGTATTAACATTTTTACAAAGGAGACTATTTTTACAATTATCAAAATTTTATATATAATTTGGTCATATCTATATAAAGTTTGCAAATCCAGAACTATTATTTCAAACTAGTAACAACATATAGGTAATTTCTAGAAATTAGATAGATTATTGTTTCATGATACTTTTATAAGAACATTTCTCATGTGCAATAGAAATTACAAATTGCTAGCTAGTTCACTCGTCTGATTGTATAGATATTTAAATATATAATTCAATGTAGCCAAGTATTTAAATACAAACATGTATTTATTATTCATAAATATAGCAGGTTGAAATTCTGACAGCTTAAAGGAGCTGAAAAGGCCCCTGTAATAGCTTAAAGGTTAAAAACAAAAATTATATTTACACAAGTATATTGAAAAAGTTGAATTATTAATATAATCTCAAATCCCTTTTTTTTGTATAAAAACACATTTATAATTTTTGAAAAAGTTGTTTCACTCATGACTAATGGTAGGATTTTAGTCTTGTCTTGAAAGTTTGTATACTTTCTTGTCCATGCCCTCGATTGTCCTGGTTTATTTCTAATAAGTCATAGTCATGTTGATATGAAGCTCTTTATCCTAATGAATATGTTGTATCAATTCATACAGCTTTCATTCCCGGTATACTGGTTTTGTTTTGGTCTTTCCTCCCGAATTAATTGCGCGATGATTTTCTTAGCTGTTGCACTAAAGGAAGAGCTGATGAAAAAGCGCGAATCTTCTTTTTAAAATCAGGGAACTGGCCTGCCAATATAAATTGCTTCAAAAGCAACATTCCATGAAAGTCTGTCAACATCCTCATGTCTCTGTCTCGCTGGCCTTCTTTGACAATTTGACTTCTCTGTCAGAAAGATTCGTGCGATAAAAACTTCCATATTCGATTAGAATATCAAGACTGATGGACGATACTTCTATCTTTATATCGATTCCAGATAAAAGTCTGGCCTTCTAAAAAGCATGCCGCTGCTAGGCCCTGTCTGCCATTTCGCTCCGGAGATCTCCGATAACACGGTTGAAAAACAATTCAACTCAATGACCATTTTACAAACGCTAATAACTACAAAACGGTTAGAGATATGAAAAAAATAATAACAGATTCGTTTTCAGGAGGTCTGATTACATCGTATTCTGAAATAAAAATTTTGGGCTGGAGTGGCCCTTTAAATGAGACAAGGCGTACCATGTTACATTAAACATTCTATTGACGGAAAGCATACTCACTGCAATTCAACTCATCACTGCCGTCAAAGCAATCCGCATTGAGGTTGCAGACTAGCGAAGAAGAGATATCCTCGCCATTATGACAGACGAAAATATCGGATCGATTGCTTGGGACTGTAAAAAAGGAAAAGATTGTCTAGTGAGAAATATTCTTATGCTATTATTATGCAATATGCCCGATAGCACTCTTCTTCGAGAGTGAAAAGGGTTGGCCAGCAATGCTAATTCAAGGCAAAGAATTCTTCAAACCTCGTATCTTGGTAACATCCACCTATAGAAAATTCATACTATATTTAAGCTTACTGTTGTAATCAGTTCCTAATGATCAGCCCTCCTTGCCCAAAGCAAAGTACTGCACTTTTGCAACAGTTTAAAATTGTTTGAGGGGGCTCATTCACAAGGTGTTGGGGCAAGTCAAAGGAAACACGAGTACTCGGTGCAACGGACGAATGGCTGATAATGAAATAAGACACAGAGGTCTACTCTCTATCTGTGCAACAGAAATTTGAATAAAATAAATTTGAATAGAATAAGAGTTCCTGGAAACAAACCATGTGTGTAATTGCGAAAGAGGCATTCAGGTGAGAAGGATATATTAGCCAGATTGAAGAACCAATAGTTGATTGGGCCTATGACATCAATCCGAATCTAAATAGAGAAAAAGATACATGAGCGGTGACTTTAACAGGAAAAAAGCTACAATCCAGCAAGTGTAGACTTCGTAAGCAAGAGATAAACATGTCTGTCTGGGAGATTGCTTAATATATAAGAATACAATCAAATCGTATGCGCAGGCACATGACGTCATACAGTAATGGTAATAATAATAATAATAACTACTACAGCAAGCATCAATCTTTTCAAAGATATCAATGTTAGTTTAAAATGTTTGACCACCAACTGCCCTCCTCCTGTAAATTGTTGATGCCTTTTCTGCGTTCCTTTATGCAGCTTACAATGGCAAAATGTTTACATTAAGCCATTTAACGTCGAAACTTAGCAACGTTAAAATGGGGGGAGTTGGATATACTAAAAATATGCTTTGATCTATTGTTCGAAGAAAGTACGCACCCTAAAATTGCCGCGAGTACGTAAGATAAGGTTCTGTCTTGCCCAGCCTTGCCGGTGCGGGGTGCTGATCGAATGGATTACCCTGTCGGTGTTGCTTGTGAGCGAGAAAACCCGCAGAATTCCTCCCCAGTATCTGCTTGTTTGATACGAAAAGCGCAACACACAAGTGACGTTGGGGGAGCCTTCCGAAAGAAAAAATAGGTTAAATAACATGCGGAATTGTACATTGCAAAGAAAAGGTAATGGCTACAATGCAATAAGGAAAAAGCACTCTCAAAAATGCAAAAAGTGTTTTGACAAAGCAGAAACTGCTGCAATAAATTCTTAAAATCGAATCTACTGTATGGTTCTTTATAAACAGGGGAACACCAGTTAAGAGTAATTTTTAAGCATTGTTAGAAATCAACTTGTATTCTTGGAGGTTTATAAAACATTTTCAGTAAAATTGGCTCCTTTTCCCGCTGTTTTTACTTACTCGTATAATACTGGTCTGCTGTTCTAATAGGCCTATTTTAACTGAATATCAAGGAATTATCTCGTTGAAAGTGAAAATGGCTACGCATTTAATAGTTATTACAAGCCCTGCGTCAAGACATCAGAAGAGACTTTATGCGAGCGAAGCGAGCAGAAAAATTTTGCGACTGCGTCCTTTAGTTTAGCTTAAAATACATTCCAGAAAATTTCTTGGAACTGTCGGCTATGAACTTCAATTTAATGGTTCTTATAAAAGAAGTAAACTCTCATTCGACAGTTTCAAAGTGCCGACAGTTCTTTTTCTTTTCCTTTATTGGGCTGCCGACGGGGTGTCATTTGGAACTTTTAGGGGGGCCTCTGCCCTGAATACTGGTCTGCTGTTCATTTACTACGACTCCCCTTTCATTTACGACAATAAGAGAACTTCACACAAGCTTCACAAAAAAATACATTAGGCAATTCAAGTTTGATTAAGCACTTCACATAAATACTAAAGGCTAGAAATACTTTATAATTTTTTTTATGCCTTTCGTTAACAGAAGAAGAAACTAGTCAAATACCTTCAATGGGATCTTTTAACAGCAATTTTCCCTGATCATTTGTATGAAAAGAATGTGAATGTTCGCCTTGCAAATAGTAGTGATTGCCTTCTGAAAGAAAAAAAAATGTTTCTGCTTCATAACACCTTCCAGATTTTCGTGCTTGATTGAAACTTGAACAATTTTATCAAAACTTTGGAAAGCCTTCTCTACAAAACATCAACCATCATTTCATTGGAAGGAAAGAAAGAAAGGAAATAACTTCAGCCAATACAAAGGAAAGTGCCAATATAAAAATGTTGAATAAATGCCAATAAATGCCAAGACAACATTCAAGGCAAGTGACACTTGAAAATTGCATGATGTTGAGGCCTGCATGGTATGGAGGCCCGTCTTTTCCCTGCTGATTTTAGATTTCATGTTTCTCGCCGATGTCACACATTCTCTATCAAAAGTTTGAATCATTAATATTAGACCCAAACAAGGGTAATAACGAAGAGAAATAGAGTTCTGAAGTGAATAACGTCATGGTTTTGACATTTCGAACTGGATCATAAGGATCACATTCCCTGAAAGAGCATCGTGAAATATCTTCAAATTTGCTGTGTTACAAATTGGCTGAGAAAATTACAGATGAGCATGGGCTTTTTCTCAATCAAATCACTGTAGTTTGGTCTTGGTTCAAAAAGTCAATGAACCAGGCGAAAATAACACTTATGCAAACAATATCTTCGTGGTACAATATTTAAAAACATCTTTGAAAAAAGCAAACATTTGAGTCATAGTGAAGATTTTCGTCTGATACTCTTCAGAGTATAAAAGATGGTAACATTTTCAATAGGCAAGCGGCAATGATTGGGCAACCTAAACATTCAAGTGCTCGCGTTTCTGATTGGCCTATTTAGATCCACAACTGGGTAAATACAAAACAAGTATTTCCTATTGTGTTGTTTTGATCAATGTTCTGAAGTTTTAGGGAAGAATGTCAGAAGAAAAGCTTTAATATGGGTCAAAATGTTTACTTTTTACAAAGCCACCAATACTCTTAATTACTATGAAAGCTCGTTTCTTTAACTTGCTTTTTACTTGTCAACAAATAAAAGACTTTGCAATTATACAAATATTTCATTGTGTTTTTTCAGACTGTGTAGGCAAAATTTTTAAAATTACATTGCTTCTATGACGTCACATTTTGGTATTCTATCACTAGTTCAAATTTGATCCACTTTGGATAGTTGGCCTGTCGCATTTTCAGGCTTTGGATTTACTGACAAATTCTGTCTCATTAAAAGACTGCAATGGCGTTAAGTCTACCACCCTATGTAGTCACCTGTAATTCAATTTATCAGAAACATTACAGTAATAGTGTGGTATACGAGCCTCTTGATTTTGTGCGATGCCATTCAAAATTGGTATGCTTAGATGGTATCCAATTGCAGAGATCGTTTTGAAAATCACATCTTTTGTATTCTATGCAGTCCTCTTCATCTTCACCCCCTGGACAATCCTTATGAAAGTCACATCTCTGATTGTGATCGTAACACTTTAGGCTTCCAGCGCCACTGGTACAAGTGTTGTGGGTAAGACGGGGGCATGTCATGATATAATCTGTATAAAGATGATACCAGCTTTAAGAAGTAAGACAATCTTTCAAAGAATGGACCGTCCTTAATTATATCATAAACGTATATCATACCCTCAACAATTGAAGAGCATGACAAAATCTTCATTAAAATAATAAACAGAGATGAAACTGAATCTGATCTTTATATTCATATAGAAGACAAAGTATATCACTTTATTAGCATACGATACGCAAAAAGATGCCTTCTGACTTATGTATTGACATTCTTGTAGAACGCTGATCGAGTTGACAAAAACCAACATGATATTTCTATGGATGTTTATATGAACAAAAAGGCATTTTCATATTCTAGATAAATCAAATTATCCAAGCGCTTTAAATATATTATATTTCTCGTGAGATTTTACCAGCTTCTTGAGCTACCTCTCTTTTTGAAAAGCAAAAAAGGAGACTGGAAGTTGCAATCTAGGAGGAACGGTGTTACAGCTACAATACAAGAGAGAAAGATAAACAGACTATATGAACGGTACAGAACCATACAGATTGTGCAAATGCAAGATAACTTTATCCTGATAAAGTTAGGATTAAAACACATATCTAAACTAGCATTGTAAGCAAAACATTATAGTGGCAACGCTGGGTATACCTGATTTGCATCTCCAAAACGTAGCATTAATGCAGCGAGTTGAATTGTGGCAGCTGCTTGAATTAGTGAGCGTGTTGTTACTCGAAAGGCAAATCTGCTGGCCTGACATAAAACCTCTCGCTACAAAGGTGCTATTTGCCAAACCATGGAATCCAAGATATCTGCAAGCCGCGATTGCTGAAAAAAGTAAGACATGGTAAACACAGATAAGTGAATATCCCACAAAACGTAGAAGATTCAAGGTAAAACAGATTTCAATGTGGTTTGCTTTGAATAACACGTTCCAAGGTAAGACACATTTCGTATTTTTAAAAGATAATACATCTGGTTCATATGATTGTAAACTGAAGGGAAAAACTTTTCACTCTCTCTGTGAAATAATTTTATATTTTCCTTAGATACACAAAAATTCAAAAATGTTAATACCTACGTCAATATTTGATATCGTCTCATTAATGTTTGTAGGGTTTATCGTTGTTTCAACACACGTCTTTTGACATCCAAGGATGCAGTACTAAGAAAGCTCGGGCCCAGCCTCTTTGTTAATACCAAAGATAGCCAAGTTTTTCTTTGTTAATGCTTAAAGGTAGGCAAGATTCCCCCCCTCTTGATAATGTTATAGGCAGAGTCAGGAAAACATTACAATCGCACGGCAACTGACCTATCTCCTTGTGAATTTTCTCAAGCACCCTTTCTTTTGCTCTACGAACTGGTTCACCATACAATCCAGATCGGAGGGGATCCAATGACCGGAGGACGGACCACAAAAGACAATAGAAGCTCTTATAACACACCCAAGCCACACCCACTTTCTATTGTTTAGTGAGGAATGTTTGCCTTCTGGGATGTTTTTATCTAGAGGAAAGTTAACAACTTTTCAGGACTCTGGTTATAGGAAAGCCATTTGTTCCCATTTTCTTTAGCATTTCACATCGTGCTCATTTCCAGAATATGATAAGTCTACCAGAGTAAGACTGTCCGTAAAATTAACATACCCTTGTCTTTATCGCAAACCATTGACCAGCTGTTGCCTGTCTTCTCGTAAAACACACCCTCTGGAAAATTGTATTTGGGTAATGACTGCGGCTTGACAATTTTGATTGGCGTTAGCTCTGAAAGAAAAATAAATCCAAACCTTTCATTTCTTGCACTAAACATTACGGTACAGACATTGCTCGACGTTCAATTTATGGGACTACAGTTTGATTTAGAGATATTTCCTCTTGAGCTGATACAATTTATTACGAGGTATATGAATCAGTTTGTAAACCAGTACGAGGCGAGTTCATGTGATCAGTGCTAAGCCCACCAATAGGATTGCAGCACGAAAGTCATAACTCGAATTATTTGGGTGTATCTACTCCTATTATTATGACTCAATGCCTTTAAGTTATCTCATGACACTTGCGCCAGAACCATCAGTAGCACGTGGGACAGTTCAGCGTGGGCTTCGAATGATGAAACATAAATCCTTAAAAAGGTTATCTTTACCTTGTGTAAAACAGCTTTCAGTGAACATTACGTCATCTAGAGCTATTATCCCATCCACATAACGCGAACTTCCAGTAATCTCAACCTGCAATAGAGGCCGAAATAAGAACTATGACATATTTTGGAAAAATAAGTAAACAGTCAATGTTTAGCCGGCAAATGTAAATAGTTACATCAGCCATCAAAACATCCCCATATAAAATGGAAGGAATATAACTAGAACTGACTGAAAGACTTGTAAGTTACATATCTACAAATCCTTCATTTCTATTTTAAGTGTACGCTATGGTTTATGGGTAAGACAATCATATTGTTCCTCGTGACATCATTCAGATTTCCTTCCTAGTTTGGTCCATGAATTGCACAATGTCATAGAAAGACCCATGATTCTGTTTCATTCAATAACAGATAGGTCAATTCATTGAAAATAGGCATAGAATTAATTGAAGATACTCTCACCTGAAAATCAACATCGCTATTTAACGTCACTTCGCCTCTTTTCCAATAATGATCTCGAATCGAAGCACGGAATAAACGCACACGTGAAATACCATCCATTTTTTTAATAACCTTTTCTACTTTAAGGTAAAGGTAATAATAATCTATATCCCTTATCACCTTGTAGTAGAAAACCATCTGAAAAAGAAAAGCCGAAAACTTATATGTACACGGTCTGATGTAGAACTAAAGGTAAAACCAAATGAATCTAGGCACTTTCTTTTATAATTCTAAAAAAATCACAGTTACATTTTTGTAAGTCATAAAAGGATGGGCGATGAAAATGTGATGATACAAACTCTGGCCAAATTGTTTACTTCAATTTTACTCTGGTATTAAATAAAATCCTTTTCACTGAAGGGGGCAAGAGATTGTTGAATTTGACCTTGAGAATTAATTTTGGTGTACCAAAGAATTCTACCTTGTTTGTAGCAATAATATTATAAAACATACCTTACAAGAGCCATTTGCTGGTCTGAATAATGGTGAGACTAGCTTTCCAGCATCACCAAATTTCACCCCAGTTAGTGATAGAACCGCAACTGACCCTATCAAAAATAGGTTGTTGGAGTTAGTTCGATTAGTGCAACAGAAGGTGCTAGCCATCCAATGAATTTGCCTGCTTCTCTGGGAAATATACACGGCTGCAATATAGAAGAACTAGAAGGACCTTAGCAAGACACAGATTATTTGGGGGCAGAATACACTACACTCTTTATAAATTATTTTGGACCGGTGGCTCCCAAGCCCAGAAAAAGGAAAGAGATGAATTACTTCCCTTAATAAGCAGGGAATGCAAGTTGATGTAGTGATAATTCTGAGTCTTCTAGTTTTTTCCAAAAACAAAGGTGCTCAGCCATAATTTATTTGCACCATCACCTCCAAATGGTACCTAATTTAAACAGCACTGGATATATGTAAGGATGCATGTTGCAATAACTGAAATATACTGTATAAAGTATGAGAGACCAGTATTTAATCTACAGAATATAAATCCAAATGAATCAATCTTACCATTGACACTGTCTTTTGTATGATCTTTTATTTTGTATGGACTATCTGCACTGTGCTCCCAACCAAAACCATTGACATCAACTTTGTACCAATCACATAAACCATCTTCAAAATCACATGACCATTTTGGCACATACTGACCTAAAGAAAAACAAATACAAACTTCAAAGAGTATTACACTTAGCATAGGTCTTGGATGATAGTTTGTTAAAATGTATTGTTTTTACATCAGACAAACAAACTTTTGATCGCATTTTTATGTTCATGACAATTAAAATTTTGTCTCCTCTACGTCAAGGGCCTATTGTCATCCTAACATAAAACAAAGCAATTTGTCTGCTATGGCACAAGCTTTCAATTTCTTATATGTGGACAATCAAACCATGGCCTCTCAACATTATTTGGATTTAGGAATTGAGTAAAGTTAGGATCTTTCAAATATTTTCTCCATTTTTTAAACTCAAAGAGGGTTACCTCACGTACAGCGACATAGCCTAAAACAGATAGTAGACCATGTCCAAAAGTTACCGCAAAGTGCATATTGTGTGACAATGCATACAAGAATTTTCCATGGATTTGTAGAGTTATAGAGGAGTATCTACTTTTGATGGACATGCTGCTTTATGCATGACTTATTGAAGATGAATTATTTCACTTAGACTTTTTAATATTTTTAAGGTAAAACATAGTTTCCCAAAGTAGCATTTTCCAGATTGGGTTTTAAAAAGGTAAAAAAGGGGTGATGAAAAGTATAGGTTGACAGGTCCAATTGTTGGGTTTTGGTTTCGATGAAGTAATTGTCACCAAATTTTTCTTGTATTGACTTTTCGATTTGCAAACTTGATACCGTGACAAGTTAGTGGCAATTATGAGAGGGCTGTATGCCACCAGCAATGATTTTAGTTGTGGCTTTAAGCGAGTTTTCTGGCCAAGGTATTAGAATAACAATTCTCATACCGTGCCCTTGAGGTGGCAATACAGCAAGTGCTGTGTATTGTGTCAACCGGCCTTCCCCTAAGCCCGCTATTAGACCAATGACTCTGTAAGTGTAGGCAGTTAGACAGCCCCTTGAAATTGGAAACAAAGGTGGTCTATTAACAAGACACCTTTTTCTTAAAAATGAGCAAAGCCTACATGTATAGCAGAATATTTTTTATCCAGTCGTTAGGTAGGGAAGAAGAAATACACTAGTTTCATGTTCTTTAATCAATAGCTATAGTTTTCTTTAACAGTTCGTTTTGATTGTAAACAGAATCAAAAACATGATTTTTCAATTTTTTTATACGGAGGCAAAAAATGAAAAATGGTGATGCTCTGAGTAAGGTTGCTTGGGGGTACTTTTCTCACTACAGGGCAAGCATCAAGCCTGCGGAAGCAAAATCCCCCAACATCATTATGTGAAAAAATGTTTCTATTTGGATTGTTTTTGATCTGTTCAAAATTTGAGCAGCGTTGGTAGCGCTCGGGGTCAAATAGGGAACGGGGTCAAATAGGGAAATCGGGGTCATATAGGGAAATCGTTAATAACTCCAAAAATTGGACAGATATCTCAAAACAAACCTCAGAATCGGATTCGGCATGCCTCAATCTACCTTTTAGATGCTTATTTAATTCAACTACGGCAATTTTAACAGAATAAATGATAATGTTTTTCTTCTACGTTAGCTTGATGCGTGTCTCCTCCGTAGTGACGGGAGCAAATAGGCAAAACACGTTGAAAAGCATCGATTTAACTAAAAATAAATAGCAAAAAGGTAGAAATATCAATATAAAATAAACATTCTCTTCATGATCATCCAAATTTCACACATCCTGCAACGAGGGTTACAAGTTTTCTCTAAATAAATCAGCTGAGTGATTGACGCGCTCGGGGTCAAATAGGGAAATCGACATTTGGGGTCAAATAGGGAAATGACTAAAAACTGCAAGAAACAAGCACGAAAAAGAAAACTAACCTTATTCCAAGGCAATGAGTAATTAAATCTGCTCTTTCTATCCGTTTGTCTGCTAGAAATCAAGCTATATCGATGGATAGATACAATTCAGACAACGTTCGACACGCACTTAGGCCTTTGTTTACAGATTGATCTCCTCCACAGTTTCAGGGTCAAATAGGGAAACAGCTGCCTACAGCAATAGACAAAGGTCTGTTTCTGTGTAAAATAAGGAAAAATTCGGTTTAAACTTTTCAGAACCCCTTTCTTGTTTATTTGCTTCCGATGTCATTATTACAGCAAAAGCTTTAGTATTTTTCAAATGTTTGCTTTTCCAAAGCCATTTTAAAATAAATAATCTAACATCTCTACATGACATGATAACTACTCTTAAAGGCTGATACATAATTAGATTTTCAAATGTGAAATATCTAGGTGATTGCGCTTCATTTTGTACTTCCTTTCAAAAATTTGGAAAATATGTGTGGTGTGGAAAGGTGTGGAAACAATTTATTCGCCATCGCATCAATGACATTTTAGATGTTTCCAATAGGGAGGAATGGTTTTACTGCCCTGGACCCCAGAATCCAGCAGATTTGCCATCAAGGGGTAAGGTTGGGTCTTCTCTATCCACTAATTCTTTCTGGTGGGAGGGTCCTGAGTTCCTCAAGCTCGACCCCAGTGAATGGCCACAACCCCCAAACGAGTTTAAAAGTTTAGAGGCAATGGAGGAGAAGGTAAAGCATGTGCCTGAAGTTACCCACGTTATGGTTAATTCAGAAGAGCCAGTATCCTTAAATCTGGAAAATGTTTTCGACATTCGTAAATACAGTAGCAAAGGTAAGTTGTTAAGAACTCTTTCTTGGGTTTTCCGCTTCGTAGACAATTTAAAAGCAAGGCTAAGTTGCAAATCGATCAACAAGGAAAACGAAATATCGGCAGACGAAACTTGCAAACTTGAATAGTCATTGTTAAGTCTATTCAAAAACAAGCATTTAAGATAGAATTGCAGTATCTTTCTAAAGATAATAAGGGTAGAAGTAAGGCGCCGCTGTATGTAAGCCAATTCAATCTTTTTCTGGATGAACACGGAGTATTGAGGTGTAGATCTAGAGTAAACAAATCTTCGGTCATTGATTCAGGGAAAAATCCCATCTTACTTCCCCCAGGTAATCATTATGCCTTCTTATTAATTCAAGAGTCGCACAGAAAGGTATTTCACAATGGAACACGTGAAACATTAAATTTGTTGCGTCAAACGTATTGGGTTCCACGAGGCAGAGAAATGGTGAAGAAATATGTTCGCAAGTGTCTTTTATGTAAGAAACTAGAAGGGTTGCCATTTCGTACAACTTTCAACCCAGATTTGCCACAAGCTCGAGTAGACGACGGTCCACCATTTTCAAATACTGGTCTAGATTTCGCAGGGCCCCTTGTTGTCAAGTATAGAAGTTAAGAAGCTACTAAGATCACCCAGGTTTTACGAGTCCTTGTCTCTGAGATGTGTTGAGTGGAAATTTATAACGGAAAAAAGTCCCTGGGAAGGTGGAGTATGGGAAAGGTTAATTAGAAGTGTAAAGAGGTGTATTATAAAAATCATTGGTCGAGCCCTATTAGACTTTCACGAAATGCGTACAATTCTCGTAGAGGTTGAGGGTGTTATCAATTCACGCCCCTTAACTTACGTACACGACGATACCGAGGGAATCTCGTACCCATTGACCCCCTCACATCTGATAAACGGGAGAAATTTGTTGCATTTGCCTCAATACAGATACCTAGAAATTGTAAGTGTTTATGAAACTTTATCTAAACGTGCAAGATATAATAGACTTCTTTTAGGTCAGTTTACGCGTAGATGGAGAAACGAATATTTATTAGGGTTAATGGAAGCATACAGACCCACCAAATATCAATCAAAGCCAAATGTTGCAGTTGGAGATGTAGTGTTATTGAAAGATGAGAGCAAGAAAAGGAGTTTTTGGAAAATCTGCCGCATAGAAGAGCTCATAGTAGGTAAAGACGAGGTGGTAAGATCAGCGATTATCCGACTAGGATCAGACGATGGCAAAATAGGTAAGAAGACTTTACGTCGCCCTTTAAAGTTACTAATACCATTAGAAGTAAAACCTAACCATTTGACAAATTCTTTACAAAATCCTCCTACGCAGTTGCCATTGCAGCCAGCAGCGCAATCGCCTTCGCAGCAGCGTACGCAGTTGCCTATGCAGGCAAACACTAGACCTAGACGTAGAGCAGCAGTTTTGGGAGAGACAGTTCGAAGACAAATTATGCATTAACGTTTTTGCAGCATATTATCTTTAACTTTGTTATTGTTCTGATTTTGTTATGTGTAATCAAGTAAATTCAATACTAATATCTTTAGTTAATTTGGGTTTGATCATGTCATGATCAGTGGCGAAGCTAAAGGTCCTGCTTGTCCTGCCGGGCAGGACCACGAATTTCCAAAGATAACAATTTTTAAAATGTTAAAAATTGATTCACTTTATGAAATCATTATATGCCTGATTCAAAGGCATTTCTTGTCTTATTCTACACTTATACTTCGTGGCTGTGCCCTTTTTCAATTTTGAGACACAGGGTGACTGAAATGGAATTTCGAGTATCCCGTTCGTAAATTGATATCGTCAAAAATTTAGCCCTGTGGTCAGTCCTGCCCAATACTCGTAGGCAGGACTAAACCCTATGTTTGGTCCTGCCCAACAATGGACAAACGCCTCGTAGCCCTGTTTTTGGTCCTGCCTCACAATAGAAGAAAACAATGGCACTCCTGCCCTTCAGAAATGGCAGGACCTCAGGTCCTGCTCTTTCATGAAGGCAGGACCTAGATTTCTGGAGCCCTATGTTTCGTTATAATTTGTTGATTTTCTGCGCCGTGGTCAAAGGTCACAAAGAATTTTCACTCAGGCCATAGTCAGATCAGTTACTCAGGCCTTAACTATTTTGATATCATGGATAAAACTAACTGTAACGAAGACATCATGATTCTGCTGCTGAAGAAGTTTTTGCTGCTAGAAGCTTCGGCCCTACACTGTCGTCAATTGATTTATACAAGAATTGATCGTTTCAAGACGAGTGGTACTTACGGAAATCAAATTGTTTAGGGTCGTTCTGTTTGTCCTATTTACTGTTAAAGTCGGGAATATCACAGACATCGCGAGAAACCTGATATGCATATAGTTTTCTCTCAGACTGCAGAGAGCAAAGGAATTCATATTCAAAGGCCTATTTTAAAAAGTAGAAAAAGTTTGCCGCCGCTGCCGAAAGAGAAACTTCTTTTGTTGTACCAGGAAAGTCGAGATCGAGGGGAGATGGAATGTTCATGACAGAAAAAGGGCTTGCTTAAATTTAATTTCAGTAGTTCGTCCTCCTGCCTTAAACAGGAACTACTATACAATTCAGAGGTCCCGATGAAAAGGACGCTTTGAAAAGGATGAAAATGAAAACAATGGTAATTACTGGGAGCTTTTGTACTCGGTGACTCAGATTGTATTGTACTGGCAAAATGTCAGGGGTCTCCTCTGATATTCACAACAAATTGATTCAAGACCCTATCTACCGTTCATCAGACATATGTTGTGACAAAATATTTTTACTTTTTTAAATAATTTGAATCAATTATGTTTCCAGTATGTATTACAACTGTATATGCCTATCTGTACAAGCAATTTCTTTTTAGTCCATGATTTCAAAATTTTCAATCAATGAAAACATTTTCAATGCTGCGCCCCCATACCCCCTTTGAGCAGGACCACCTGTTCTTGGTTAGCTTCGCCACTGGTCATGATTCAAACCGGGGGAGTGTGTTATAATGCATACGTCACAACCTCGTTTTCGTGCTAACGCGAGATAGGTGTGACAGTTTTGAGTTAGTTGAGTTAACGAGTTGAGTCGAGTCGAGTTCGCGAGTCATGGAGTTTACAACAGAGTTTTGAGTTATTGCTTTAAGAATGTAAATAGTTGTTATGTTTATGAAAATGAGATAAAAACCTCACAACACATTGTTCAAAGTTACATTTTACAGTAGCTCAGCCTCAGCTTGTTCTTAATTTGTTCTCAACTTTTGACCAATTTTGAAGCTCATTTTTTTATAAAATTGTTCTTATAAAAAGAGAGTGTAAAGGCAACATAATTATGTTTGAGAATAAAAATCACCATCTGTTGTATTCGATATGCAGCTGCAGTGGCTTGGTGGCAGGGGGGCCATGGGACCACGGCCCCCTTGACTAGGGGAGCAGTTGGAGACGTATGCCAAAAATTTCTTCTATTACTTTGCACTCGGAACGCCAAAAAACCTGAGTGTAAGCTAAAGATCTTCCGGCCTGAGTACATTAAATGCACCCTGGCAATCAATACAGCAGCTTCTTGTTATTAACATCAATGTGAACCAAAGGTCACTCTCTCTTTATCTAACGCATGAATCCTCCCCTCCCAAAATTTTTTGAAAAAAATCGATCGAAATGTCTATTCTGAGCGGTGTAGTAATTTGTGAAATTTTAGTCTGGGAGATGCATTTTTAGCGATTCTAGAAGGCTTTATTTCAAAAATTTCCTTTCTTGTCTGACCCAACCATGGTGGGTCCTCCTTTGTCACTAAACTTACTTCTTAGCTCAACCCCAGATTGGATTTCGTGGCACCGCCTCTGTCCGATTCAACAGTGCGATTCAATGCTTGAAACTTACAAGTTGTTGAAAGAACTACTATTTAGTAACTATTAAAGAACAAGCCATATTTGTATATCATACATTCGATAAATACGATGAGACTAAGCTGATACTAACTAAGGATAAATATAAAACTAAGGGCTTAATAGTAGAGATGGGCCCACAGCACCACCTCTACAATAGAAGGAGTGGATGTTGGTAAATCTTTTAATTAAAAAGCAATGAAATTAATAGAATGGTGACACTGATTACTTGATGATGGATAGATTGTAAGATATGAAAATAGACAAACATAACAAGAGGAATTATGACAATTAAAAAATAACAACAAGAGGAGTCATTGACAAGTGAAAATTGCGTGTTCTGCTCATGACAGATTTGTAAAATTTAATGGAAAGGGGTGTTAATAAGCGAAATGGGGGGGGGGTGCAAATTCTTCTGAAATTTATACACCGGGGACCCGTCTATTAGAGACAATAGAGCAACAAAATGAAGAAAATATTTCCCCAATAATCGTACAATTCTTGGCTACTTTTTATGTACATTTGGTAACTTGAGATGAAGAAGAACCAAAAATTTTTTATCTAAGGCACTCCGTGTTTAATTTTTTTGTAAAAATGAAACTGATGAAAGATAAGCAATACAATTATTTCTTTAGGGGGGTTGGATTGAACCTCTCAACGCCAAATAAACACACCAACGTCCAAGGTTGTCTCAATCATTGAATTGTTTGCAATTATCCGCAACCGTGAAATGTTTCACCAATATTTAGCCTCCCCCTAAATTTATTTCAAAATTTGGTTTGAAAATAATAAGAAGACAAAGGGCACAAATGTCAGAAGACAGGGCTCCTAACAATTATTGGCTTTAGGCAGCTGTTTCCCTATTTGACCCCGAAACTGTGGAGGAGATCAATCTGTAAACAAGGGCCTAAGTGCGTGTCGAACGTTGTCTGAATTGTATCTTCTATCGATATAGCTTGATTTCTAGCAGACAAACGGATAGAAAGAGCAGATTTAATTACTCATTGCCTTGGAATGAGGTTAGTTTTCTTTTTCGTGCTTGTTTCTTGCAGTTTTTAGTCATTTCCCTATTTGACCCCAAATGTCGATTTCCCTATTTGACCCCGAGCGCGTCGATCACTCAGCTGATTTATTTAGAGAAAACTTGTAACCCTCGTTGCAGGATGTGTGAAATTTGGATGAATATGAAGAGAATGTGTATTTTATATTGATATTTCTACCTTTTGCTATTTATTTTTAGTTAAATCGATGCTTTTCAACGTGTTTTGCCTATTTGCTCCCTTCGCTACGGAGGAGACACGCATCAAGCTAACGTAGAAGAAAAACATTATCATTTATTCTGTTAAAATTGCCGTAGTTGAATTAAATAAGCATCTAAAAGGTAGATTGAGGCATGCCGAATCCGATTCTGAGGTTTGTTTTGAGATATCTGTCCAATTTTTGGAGTTATTAACGATTTCCCTATATGATCCCGATGTCCCTATTTGACCCCGTTCCCTATTTGACCCCGAGCGCTACCAACGCTGCTCAAAATTCCACAAAAATCTACAGGAAAAGGCAGAAAGGAAAGTTAAAGACGATCCACAGAAACATAAAACTGCATGGCCATTATTTACAATTCTCAAAATGAAATTAAGGTGCATTAATGTTCAACATACCTGCAACTATACCAAAACAAACTTGGAACATAAAAGCCAACGAGAATCCCTTCGATATCATCATCAACAAACTGCTTGAATTTTGTTATTCACGCGGATGCAAATAAAGCAAATTAGAATTTCTCAAAAATTTCTCCTGCTCCTGAGAAAGCTTCTGCGCCTCTGTCCTGGTATTTAACAGCTTCTATAATCACTCTAAATAAGGAACAAAAATACTAAGAAGGCTAGCTAGTAGACCTAATTAAAGAAGCGTTTTTAACGTAACTTTTGGGTTGGGTGGTTGCCAGCATAGCGGAATAATCTTTTGATTGGCTGAAGCGCTACCATTTTGAATTTATGCAAATTAGCCTCGTGCTGTAGAAATCAATGGGGAAGCTGCGGCCGAGGGGTGCAGGGCTTTTAACCTTCCCGGCATACACGAGGTGCACTCGGCGCGAAAATCGACAGTTGAGGTGAACCAGGGGCGGACTGGCTAGTCGGGCTATTCGGGCGATCGCCCGAAGGGCCGGTCGGTTTAAGGGCCGGCTGATAAAAGTGCAAGAAAATAAATTAGCTTAAAAAGTGAATGCGAGGCAAAAAAATATACCCATGCGTTGATCTGTTTGCCTTAAATTTTCAGAGATTTTCAGAGACAGGGATTTTCAGGGAAAGAATAAATATACACGCGAGTACTCCTCTGCCAATGAGCTACTTCAATTCTACGGGTGCTTGAGCCTCTAAGGTCATCACTATCAATCACTATCAATCAACCTCTAAGGTCAAAGTTGCAACTGAGCCAATCAGATCACGCTCTGATATGTTTATCTGCAATGTCGAGCACCCCTATCAATCAAAACAAGGCTTCAACCAATCCGTTTGCCAAATTTCGGCTCATCTGAGCACCCCTATCAATCATTTAATATACACTGGTGCATACTGTCACTGAAACGACTAAACCTGTTCGTGTAGCAGCAATGGCGGACATAAAGTCGTTGCTGTTGCAGGTGTTCTCGATTATTGGTTGCCAGTCGACTGAGGAAATTGAAACGGAAAACGAGCTTTTTAGTATTCAGTCAATCGTGAGAAAAGTTTTTGATGAAAGCGTAGTGGATGGTGTCGTGACTTGTAGGAATACACAGATCGATGAGTTCGCTGAACTGCAAATGCCAAAGGTTCAAGTACTGTCCCGTGGAAGTTCTGACCTTCGGCCTTTCAGGTTGGTAGTTTCCTTTACCAGGCTTTAAATGCAAAACGTTTTAACAGAATATTTCTTGGATTAATTCGACAAAAATATCGAATTTTACAGAGAAAAATGCGCATCCCCAAAAAGGTGGTGCCAAGGATTTTTGGTTGTTGGGGTGGTATGGTAATTACTACCAGAATGAATTCGATACCCATTTCTTGCCAAATGCAGATGACCCCAAAAACGTACTACTTCAACACAAGGTACTTAGTAAAACAATCAATTTTTATAAACAAATTCTTACAAGTATTGATTTAAAGGCATTGAGTCATGGTAAATAGGCCTTCTCTATAGGGGGTCATTTGGATTCGGCGTGATCGCTGCTGTTTCATGTGATACTTGCATCCGTTGTTGACAACTTGCTATTGATGGAAATTGTTTTGTCAATCAGTACGAGGTGAGTTCATGTGACCAGTTCAAGGTCAACCAATAGCATGGCATTCATGAAAATCATGACTCAGCGGATTCTGGCACTTAGTGTATACCCAATCCATTTTATCATGACTCAATGATATTTAACTCAATTTTCGTATAGTAATGGTCAGTTAACGTAGCAATGATTCATTTTGCTTTTTTTGTTTGAAACATTTTAGCTGCCTTTTTACAAAAATGAACCAGTCTCTGAATATTGCAGAGCAATCAAATATTGACTAACGACCTAAAATGTCATTCATTGATTAATGTGATGTACAAACTGCGAAGGTAGCAGTGTGTTTTTTTAACTAGCATTGCTAGCAAAAAGGCTTCTAACAAAAGAGATAATTTTTTATATAGTTTTGCTTTAATACCTGAATTTAAAAAAGATTAATTAATCAAGATGGGTGTTGCCTTCATTTAACCGTAAGTAAAAGTGGGGTGTGGCATTATTATGGCTATTAAGGCAACGCCCTTAAGCACCCCTCAGATATTCCGCTGGATCCGCCTCTGGTATTTAAATTTTTTATCGTGTCGTGTTGGCTTGAGTGATACACGAGGGTCCTGTGTTAGCTACCATTTTGATAACGCAATTTTTGGCGCGAAAATGCCAAAACGTCACCCTGAAGTATTGCGCAATCCTTTGGGCGATTTTTTTAAAAATAAATATGCCACCTTTTAGAAAAAAATGTTGTAATCCGCTTCATAATGCCTGGAACTGTTTATGTGAGGAGACAAAGGACCTAGCAAAAATTGGTGGTTTACAAGCGTGTTTAGCTGCCTTTACACAAATTTCAGAAAATTTTAACACGAAGGCTGGTTCAGTGTTTTGTTTAGACTGTTTGTTTAAATGCCGGTCAAAAAGAAGTTTCACTGAACATTTACCACCAGAAGCCAACTTGACTAAGGTAAATGATAATTTTGCAGGAAAAGTCTATTTATACTGTTATTAATATTTTTATCATTTGCTTAGCATCCATCCAAGTCATCTTTATATTGCGAAAATCTTGTTATCTGATTTAAAAGCTACCTATTCAAAGCAATAAATACTGATACCTCTCCCTGCCCCTACCCCCCACCCCAAAAAAATTTCAACATTTTTAATTCCTCTGCCTTTCAGTAAGCATTGCCAACAACTATGAACAAACCCTAAATATCCCAAACAGGAACCTCTTGTATCCTTAAGTTATCTATTTACACACAGAATAATTTTGTATAAATGCATTAATCTTAAATTTGTTAAAAGCAATGTTGTTGAGCATGTGTATAAAGCTGTCTCTTTCTTGTTGAATCTGTCCTAACAGCTTGACGAAATACTTAAACAGCGAATAGACATTGTCAGCAATGAAGCACTAGAAGAATTCCATTACCAAAATGAGGTTTGTTTAAAAATGGTTTCACTACACATACAATGATACTAATATAAACAGTTAATTACATAATAAATATATTTATATATATCAGATTGAAGGAGCAGTGCAGGTGGATACACATTGACTGTAAAGTAATAAATATCATAAACTTTAACTGAACTGACATACAGGCATATAGAGGGAAAATGACAAATAATTGCACTATTGCTTAGTACTGGGCCTAGTCCAAAAATGGGAATATCCTGTTGCTACACTACTAGAAAGATTTACCAATAGGCAGCCCTAATGTTTCCTGGTTTAAACATATCTAGTAGTCTCTATTTGTAAACCTGAGTTGCTTTTGTAAATATGAGGTTGCCTTTGTACTTAATTATTTAGGAGAACCTTCAAGCCATTAAAAACAAAGAGCCTGTGAAAAAGCGTCCTCGTTACGATAAAAATTTCAATGACTTGGTTCAAATCAGCAGTGATGTTGGCTTGGTGTGGTATAGTGCTGAAAACAATGAATATATCGTTCCAGCAATTATCTTCGAGCAGCTGCAACTGAAACATGCACCTCAAGAAAAAGAAAATGAAAATAAGATTGATAATTTAGCCAACACCAAATTATCTAACATTAGAGGCGGAGTAAAGAAGGTAAGACAACATCTCTGGGAGAATTTAGGTTGTCCAACACTGCTTGAAAATCCATCAGTTTTTACACCAGCTGACATGCAAAGCATTTGCAGAAAAGCAGGGGTGCCAAACCTACTGAACAGCATAAACTATCTTTTGTCAGCCCCAGAACAAAGCAAAAATGTAGTTGAAAAAAATGAATCAAGGGCTGTTAATATCCTCCATATGTTAATGTTTGCCCAGTCTCAGAAGTGCAGCTGGTTTCAACATATAAATGCATCGTTCCTCAGAAGACATGGCCTGAGTGAAAGTGGGCTTACAGCTTTATGGCAAGAGGGTCTTACGGTTCATCCAAGAACAGCACGTGTCATGGCAAAGGTTGTCAGCTTCAGCTATGAGTCGCTATTACAAGGTTGGATAGAGGATGCTGTTTATAAGCGGTCACTTTTAGTATTTATGGTGGATGATTATACCAATATCCACACCATGCATAGGCCCACAACCGAAGTACCCTTGTCTGTTTCCCAAAAGGCAACCCTACTCCTCAAGAGGTATGATGACATTCCAGCCCTACCAGTTGATGAGATGAGCAATGTACACAATCCTGTTGGCGTTGATGAGCAACTCCTTCTTGCTCTCCTGAAAGAGAAAATGCCTTTTCTTAGTATGTCATTTGCTGAATACATGCCTGACTGGATTTGGAAAAGGTTCTTTGACCCTGAATCAGAGCGAAACAGACTAGCTTTACATGACTACCAAGAATATGAAAAAATAGGCTAATGCGATCCATGGAAAATACCATGTTGATAGATTCAATAGAGTTACCTCTAAAAAGTTTGTCAGCATTCCATGAAGCTGTAGAGCATGCTACACAAATGGGTTTGTCAATATACCTTAAAGAATTCTTGGTTGTAAATCCTGGTGACTGGCCAGCACAACACGTTCTCCGTCAGATAGTTTATAGCCCTGAAACACCTCTGGAAATGTCCAATATTGTGCCATTCCTAGGTGCACTCCATGTCTCCCTCAATGGCCGTGAGAATCCTGTTATGATTTTCATTCCCTTCTTCAAGGAACTTTACAAGGCAATTTTTGGTGAAAGTAGAATTTTGAGCGACCATCCACAGCCATGGAAAATCTCTCGTCTCTGATTTGACATACAGTGGCTGGACATTTGTTCGAGAATCCGTCTTGAAAGTATTTGGTAAATCAAAAGACATTCAGATTCTCGCCCTCATCAATCTGTTAGAAAACTATCTTCCTTTGAGCCTCAGCATTTACTCCACGATGTTCAAGAGGAAGATCGTGAAAAGATTTGCTAAACATTTCTTCGATCAGTTTAGGCATGCACCATTTTAGGGGCAAGATGCTTGTGAAAGATCTTGTCGCCTTCGTTTTGCTCTTAGTCGTTTTGAGATATTTATAGGGGATGTATCAGTTTTGAAAGACCTCTGGGATAGTTCTTGAGAAAGATTATGCCCATATCACGCGTTAATTATTATGCCGTTGTTAGCATGCAAGTTATGTAGCTGCCGGGACGATTTTATCGAAAGAAAAGAACGAAAGATTTAACCGATATACGTCGCACCATTTATTGGCCATCCTCTGCCTTTTAAAAGGTCCTGAGAATCATTAGAAACATTTTACACAACAATCAATTCGCCTTTTTCAGACAACTTCCTCAGTTTTCCCATCCCAAAGGATTCCAACCAGATCGGATAAGTCCTATCCAAATAGTTCTATAAAAATTGTTTCGTGACCTTTTAAGTATGTTATTGGGTAGGCTTTGAGCAGGGGCGTAGCAAAAGAGGCGTTTGTCAAAATTATAAATTTAGACGAATTGCTTTAAATTAATTCATCTAAATAATGTAGTCCATTTCTTCTTTAAAATTTCTCCGTATTTTCTCAGATTGCTTAAGATTTCACTGGAAGCAATTGGCCGTTGAATTACTGCCAACAGTCACACTTCTGCAGAACAACTTTGTTTGGCTAATTTGGGGATTTGCCGTACCCCCCCCCCCCTAAATATAATCTTTAGCTTCCTCTGGCTTTGAAAGCCAAGCTTTCTCAATCTTTGAGGCATATAAAATCATAAACCTGATGTATGCTTTAATAAAGCTTGCTTATTCAATTTCAAATCCAAGTTTCAACTTAGTGGTAATATCGTGGTTTGAAGAGAACTTAGTCAAGGAAATCAAATGAAAAATACAAAAGCACGATGCGGACTTTTGATATTACGGAAGATCCTAATAATCTACAGACTGATTAGTAAATCTGAAAATCACAATCAATACGTATTGGATACGACGATGATTTATACATGCTACAGACCACTCCGAGAGCTGATATCAAATACTTTATACTTTATGCATATAATCACGATACTAAATGCATAAAATCACAAATTAAAATTGAAGCCAGATTTAAAAAAATCACCTTCTCCAAGTGGAAGGAAAGCGACATATTTTTGGTAAATGTATATGCCGCAAAGCTCATTGCCCCAACACAAATCACATGTTCTCTCAATAATTGGCAGGGGCACAAGGAAAGCAGGCGAGGTAGGGAAGGCAGATTTCCCCGTGCCCTTAGCTCAGAGGGGCCCGACCAAGATGTAACAAAGCTTCTGACAAAACAACAATGACTTTATCAAGGGTCCCAGACCCCAGGAAAGTTCTTGATTGGTCCGGCGGTAATGGTGCTCTGATTTCCTTGTTCCTCTAATTTGACATGTGCGGATCTACAGATATACGTTGTATTTACAATGTTTGCATGTTAGCTATACAAGGTTTCATACGTCACTGCCAGGATTTCGATTGTCTGTAGCTCTGACTCGAACTTGCAGTGGCGGGAGCATTCTATTGGGGTTTCTTTGGTGCCTCGTTGTGGGTCATACCAAAGGGTGCAATGAATCGGAGACAGAGTCAACCGAGGCTGCGGATGCTGGTCGAGATCTTATCAGGGCTGCGGAGCCTGGTCTTGAATCGCCATCGTCGACAGCCGGTAATACCACTGTAATGAGGAAGGTATAACGTTAATTAAAAAGAATCTATTTGAATTTATTTCGTTATTCACACGATATGAGCTGGCAAGTTGCTTAAACCACAATGAATGAATTAATGAATGAGGGAGCACTGAAATATTACAACTATGATGAACCACTTTATAGGTAAGCAGTACACGCCCTTTTTTCAAGAATTACTGTGAAAAGGGGGTTTTTTAAGCGTCGATCAAATTGCTTATAAGAGAATTAAATTACAAATTATAAGTGGAAATAGCTGAAGAAAGCAAAAAAGTAGTTCCAATCAACAAAAAATTGTTGCTACCTAGTGTAAGCATAATGGTGAAACTTACCTCTGGGACTCGAGAGCTGACTAAGACTCGTTAATAACGGGGTTTGGTTTCGATGAGCTTCAGCCCCTGATGGCGTTTCCACTGACAAAGGGCTAACAGGATGAAATGGTGGTAAGTTAGTCTACATAGTTTGTTGTTAAAGATTCTGAACGCTAGGTTAAATTGCCCGAAACATCGATAGAGAAGGTTCAGATGTATAAAAAATGTAAAAGAACGCCTGCAAGCGAGTCAAGGAAAATAATCTAGACCACAATAATTCTAAATAACAGAATTGCCCTCATTTAACCAAATTTCAATTTCATAGCAATAAAAACTTGTCGTCGTTCTTCAAGGAATGTAAAAACAAAACCCAACTTACGAAGAATACTGACAGGCACGTAAATAATAGGGGGGCGTGGGGGGCGTAACGCCCCCCAAAGTTTGGAAAATCCAGTTACAGTTGGAAAATGTAACGGTTGACTTGGAATTTTTTTCTTAAGACCAAACTTGTGAATTTTATATTTTAAGAAGTTTTTTTATTTTAAATATAAAAATTCTAAACATTAAAATTCACAGGCTGAAGCTGACCCATCCAATCGTTTTCTATTGTGAATCCCGTCTCCACTGGATCCAAGTTGCACAATTGCCCCGTTTGCTTTCTTTCTGACGGGAGTTGAATCAAATTACGAACAGGCAAGGTGAATTTCCGGATAAGAAACTTGAAACTTTATAGTTTGGAATAATAATTCCCGTATTGATCAGAAAGCATTAGAGTGGGAGTTTTTTAAGAAACTACGAGTAGTTAATTCAATAAAAGATTAATAATCTTTCAGTACTAAAAATTCTCAACGCTTCTTATAAAAAACGAGTTTATGCTAAACTCCCCCTGTTATTTGTTAATGTCCTTGAGTCCTTATCATAAATTCCTATGACAAAACTGCTGTGGAGCAAGAACACATTGCAAAAACTGCAGTAGAAGTATTTGATCAAAGAAGAGTATTTCATCTTTCGAATCAGGCATATGCACAAGTTTGTTCTCAAATCATCATTTCAATTGTAAAGAATGAAAAGGCATTTGGCCCTCTGAAAAGTTTAAAGGTAGTTTTCTTCGATCAAGAACGAAAATAAAAGGCCCAAATTCTTGGTGCTTCTATATCGTGAAAAATGTATTTTAGATAAAATTGATCAATTGATCTGAAAGAATACTACTAATCATTAAGTATATCTAATACTGGTTTTGCTTAAATGTTGCTTTACTTCTTACAGTATGTTTAATGTTTGTTTCATGTTAATCAAAATTTAGAGATTTAGGCTTTTATGCTTTAGGCTAATTATTGAGTAAAGATTTGGTAATTATAAAGAAAATAGAACTATGGTCCTCGGGCTATTTACAAATATCAATTTGGTAGGTACAACAGATCTACTGGTCGAATGAAAAATTTATCACTTGAAGTTGGAATTTTCATACTTCCACGCCCCCCCAAAATTAGCAACTTGTTTTCGTCCCTGAATTGAATAGTGTCATATTTCGGTGGAAGAGCTCCAGCATTGGCAGCACCATTAATTGCTTCTTCAAATGAAAGTGGAGGGTCATTTGTCAATTAAAACGCACCAACAGCGTTCCTTGAGTCCATGAAAACGACCCCTTCTTTTGTGGCATCTGAATATGAAGGTGATGCATCTGCAGAAAATCAATAACTTCTGTTAGATTAAGAATCGAATTGACAGCTGGAGCGTTGGTTTCTACAACTAATGGCAGAAGAAGGGAAGCACTTGTCGGAGCAGATATTTCAAGAGCATTTATAAAAACACATTGTTGGAATAAATCTGTATTAGACAAAAACAGAGAAACTTCTAAGAAAGAGGTCATAAAATCGTAAGAATAATGTAGGGGAGAGTAGAGTAGAGTAGAGTAGAGTAGAGTAGAGTAGAGTAGAGTAGAGTAGAGTAGAGTAGAGTAGAGTAGAGTAGAGTAGAGTAGAGTAAAGTAGAGTAGATTAGAGTAGAGTAGAGTAGAGAAGAGAAAAGTAGAGAAAAGTAGAGTAGAGTAGAGTAGAGTTGAGTAGAGTAGAGTAGCGCAGAGTAGATTAGAGTAGAGTAGAGTAGAGTAGAGTAGAGTAGAGTAGAGTAGAGTAGAGAAGAGTAGATTAGAGTAGAGTAGTATACATTTTCCTACTAAAGATGTGTAGACAAAAACTCAAATCACCTCCAAGAGCAGAGTCAGGCGCGTAACAAACATCAGGAGTTTGGACTAAAGTAAAAAGAAGACGGTAATTTGCAATTAGAGGAAAAACCTCCTCGATTGGATTATTTCTATAGGAGCCCCCAATAAAAAACTAAACAAAAACTAAGATACTAAGGGGAACTAAATTTAGCGAAAAATAATCGAAAATAATTGATCGAGTAGAATATGTATCGAAAATAACCTATTTACAATGAGACGAGACATTGTTCAAAGCTGCATAGGAAGGGTGCCTCTACAAAAGGTTTTCCAAGAACGACTCAGTGTTTTAAGTCAATCAACAAGATATACACAGGGATACACATAACAAACCCGCTTTTAAAGCTGATCTGATGCTTACCGATAAAGCTATTGTGTTCATATGAGCAGTGTAAATAAGTTTATCAAGGAAATATTATAAAGTAGAATTTACATCGGCTGCAGTGTTACGATAAATAACACACGTATAATTCCCATATATGCAGTTTTCTACCCATACATGCAGTCATCTAATTTGAAAAATATTTGAGGCTATCATACAAGACCCAATTCAGTTAAATCTTTAGATCTTTAGATGAACCCTTTATCGAGATATGCATCATCAATAACAAATCTTTTCAGCAATTCATACGTGCAAAAGCAAGGAAATTTCAGCTTTTTAAAATGACAATTTAATAGCAATTCTGAATAAGTAAAAACGGATGTCGTAGGAAACACCCGCCTATTTACAGGTACAGACACTGCTGTCTTGTGCACTGAAACTATTTTTGGGTTTGTTAGTACTGCAGCACCTACCTGGCAAATATTGATTTGCTCCACGATTAGAACGTTCAGCTCTCTGTCTCTTCTTTATCCTGTATCTTATGAAAATAAACGTAAGGACCAGAAAGGCCATTATGCCAAAGGAAGAGCCGATAAGTTCCGCTGAAAGGTTTCCAGAAGAAACTTTTTTGGCTGGGGTCGTTGTGTTGAAGGCATCAGGCACTACAAATGAAAAGGCATGTTGTGCACTATTCACACTTATAATTAATCTTAGAAGAATAAAATAATGTATTCTGCCAGTTCATTGAGGACTATTGCTAAATAGCAAGAAAGCTATGTTTTTCTAAAGATATTCACAGTAATTACACATCACAAAACAATATTTTCAAGTATTCTGCAAGTTTAATATGAATGAGGACCATTGCTGAACAGCAAGGAAGATAGGGCTCTCAAAAGAAATTCACAGTAATTAAATATTCAAATAGCTATATTTTGATGAACTTTGCCAGTCTGATTTAAGGACAGAGCCCCGGTCAAACGCATCCAACATTTCATTTTTGTGGGCATGCGCATAATTTCAACTTGTTTATTTCATTTGAGCGCCAAGTTGATTCATTGATTTGCGAGCAACTATTCTCAAAGTTATCGAATGAAAAATGGAAAGTAAAAGCAAAGAGCAGCATTAAATAATCTAAAAATTCATAGCTGAGGGTGGATAAGGACAAATGTGGCACTGGTGAGGAGAGTGAGAGAAGCAATGGCAGTCTAGATTTAAGCACAGGCCTAAAAGGAAGCGAGAGCTATTAAAAAAGAATAAAAAATAAGCGAAACCCACAAGTGAATTGGATAATGTAGGGGTCCATCAGACGAAACTTTCAAGAAAAAGAATGTTTCAACATGTTGTTTTGGAAATCAGCTATTATTATTCACCTTCATTTTACGCGCCTTTTCACCGTCTGTAAACCAGTGCTGTAAACACATCGCTTCGCAGGCCTTGCATAGTGATGGAAATGTTGGATGAAATGTTGGATGCGTTTGACTACCCGCTTAAAAATATCGACGAGTTTTAAATATTGTTCGGAGAAAATGTTGGATGAAATGTTGGATGCGTTTGACCGGGGCTTAATGCAGGTTCTGTTGGGAATGAGACAATGAGGGACAAAAAAATCAGCAAATTCGCAACATTTCGACGAAGCAATCCCACAGGCTTGGACAACAAACAGAAGAAGAGAATAACATGATCCCTAGTTACGAACCAGTTAAATACAGCTTGCCAAATCCCCCTCTGAGGCAAATTCCAACAGTGCAATGCCTGTAGAGCGGTGGACTAGAACAAAACCTCGGGTGCACCATGTCGAAACCCTTCCGGGATGGCTCGATATTCCCGCAATAACAGCCAAAGTGATTCTGATCGACGAACGCATACTTGTAGCTGTTGGTTTTGCATTCATAAATACATTGCGTCTTTGTTTGAGCTTTAAACAGAATGCATATAATAAAGGGGCAGGCGTAAAGATGCAGTATCATTTAATATCGCCAAATGGCAAAAAAAGGTAAGTTGAATCAATGAATCACAAGGGATCAACGAGTTACAAGGAATCAATGAATCACACGAAATCATTAAGAATCATTGCGTCTGATACAAGATGAAATTATCTTATATAATCCTTCTAATGGTAAGTTCTTTCTCGTCATCCAACCCAAGAGACAATCCATTGAAACAGAATGTTGTTTCTAGTGACTTATTGTTTCTAGTGACGTACGTTCTGTGATGGAAATCTATTGATAAATCTTGACGCGAGTTCTTTTCTTCAC